TTTTTTTTTTCAAAAATCGACATTTCGAAAACGGCTGGACAAAGAAAAATCAGGAAGGCCTCTCTCAATTGTTCACATAACACAAAAAATTTGCAAAAGAAGAATGGTGTCCGAATTAGGCCGAAATGCTCCATATGTAAATCCCAATTGAATTTAAATAACAAATAGCGATACTAGATTTAAAGCTTATGCAACTTTTGGTGAAATACATAGGCATATTAATTCAATAGGATGTCAAATTCAATAGCCTTTGAATATTTTTCAAAGCCCAGTTTTATTCATAATAGTCCTTGCGGGGACATTTTGGTTCATAATTTTCAACACACCCTCCCTGGATTTCGATTTCTCAGTCAAACGATATTACGATATTTAATATGTAGACGACAACAATATCTTATACATATAAATTATTTTTTTCTCGCATTCTTACAGTTATGATACACGTGGTGCGCATGCGGGTACGCCTTCGCATTGGCGAGATGAGGAAGTGCTCGAAGATCGAGCTGTATTTCGCACACACAAAGAGCCAGCTGAATTGATTATAAATCCAGTGAAGGTATGTTGATCGTCTCAAAATTTGTATTTTAAAATTGTTGCTAGCCAAAGATTTACAACTAAAAAACGAAAAAAAGCTTAATCATTTTATATTACATATACATACAGTGACTAAAACAAATGACCACGTGTTGATTTTCTTTAAATATTCGGAATGTTTTTCGAGCTAAATGTTTCATTGTTATTCTTATATGAAAATATCGTGCAAGCTTTAACCAAGTTTCAAACTTTATACAAAATTTAGAAAAAATTCAACACACTTTCATCAAAAATTTCTACTTTTTATTCTGAATTTTTAGAAAATTTTTGGGTATGCGGTTTTATAGACCATACAATTTTAGTGTAATGTAGTGCAACTTTCAAACGGCTAAAAAATCGCGTTGTTTTTTGAGAATTTTTTTTAATAACGGATTGTTGCACTTTTTTCATATAAGTATGAATTTCTTATGAAATAAAACGAGGGCGACCGTCAGCAACAAAATTTCAAAATATCAACGCAAGTTTTTGTAAATTGCGCTTGTCATATTAAAAAATCCGAAAAAGTAGCCTCCAAAAAAATTCGCAAAAATCAATGCAATTTTTTAGGCGTTTGAAACTTGCACTTTATTAGACTAAAATAATATGGGCTAAAAACTGCATACCCAAAAATTTTCTAAAAATTCAGAATAAAAATTTTAATTTTTTGAATTTCCTAAATTTTATATAAAGTTTGAAACTGTGATTTACACGGTTTGGGTTAAAGTTTAGACGATATTTTTATACAAAAGTAAGAAAAAAAAATTTAGCTAAAAATTTGTATGAGTATTTATTTATTTTGGTCATTTGTTTGAGTCACTATTAGTTGTAAGAGTGCTAATCAACTTATCGAGTATAATCATAATTATGAATTTAGAATATCAATACAGATTTTTCACATAGAACTCAGATATATACTCATAAATAAATTTTGTTTCCTTATCAACAGGAAAAGGATGCAGGGAATTTCCGTTGCAGAGTTGACTTCAAACTCTCGCAGACTAGAAATAGTAATGTCAATTTGGAAGTTGTGGGTAAGTGTCTTTAGGAAATATACAGACATATGTACACATATACATACGTACATATAACATGTTTTCCGTATTAAAATTCCTTTGCTTTGCTTTTGCTTAACATTCGCGTTTTCTTGTTTTAATTTAATTTCAGTGCCACCACAACAGCCAACCATTTTCAACGAACGCCACATGCGGATAGAATCGCGCGCCGGTCCGTACGAGGAAGGCGGCAGTCTGGAAGTGACATGTGTCGTTTATGGCGGTAAGTTTCGTGGCTATGTTGATTAAATGTTTATGTGTATGTGCATAAAAAAATAAATAGAGCATACAATTTAAGCAAGGATGGTAATAGTTATAACTAAAATGATTTAAATCAGCATATAATCATTGTTTCAGGATTTTTATTTTTTTGCTCATAAATAATTAAACTAAAGGACTATTTTTGCTCAAAAGAAATTTTTGTAAAGTAGATTTTATTTTTCGATCTGAAATAATGATTATTTTATGACTTAAATTTTTTCGCACAGTAAACAAAAATTATTATTGGGTTTTATATTTGCACTTAAAAATGACTTCGAGCCTGACATTATGGAGGTTAACGGACCTCAGGTTTCGGGTCCAGCGAGTCCAATAACATTAGGAATTAAAGATTTGGTTCAATATCAAAAAAAGTAAAATTTTTTAAGGCTGTGTTAAATACTTATAAAACTTAAAATTCCATAGAGACGCAACCAACTGAAACTTTGACCCGAAATAAATAATAATGATTATTTTCCGAAAGTGGAAACCTTAAGAAATATGCAAATTTTTTTGAGTCAAAACATGAAAGAATTAAAAAATTGTAGCATAAAAATAATTTACTATTCTTGACAGAATTGTGGGAAAGTTTATGGCAAATTCTTAAATCGTAAATGGTGAATGGGTTGCTCGTGCACTGATTTATTATCGCGCTAGTGGCAAGAGAATGCGTTCATCGAAATTCCATGTAGCCATTTCAGCAGCGACAGCAAAAGCTAACGCAGAGTGTCATGTTGACAATAACACTTCAAGGTCCTAGCCATAAATTCACTTAACTATCGCAAATTAAAATCTTTCAAACAATTGACATTTTCTACGAAAGTCAAGTGGCATACACGCGTGGTCGGTATTATGGTTAAATGTGTGTTTTTTATGGTGTTTGGTTTTTTTTTGTGTGTTCACTTTTTTATTAGGCAACTCGTTTATATGTACATATGTACATTAGAGTGGTCCAATAAAATAAAGTCAGAGTTTTAATGCCGGCACACCCTAGGATTGATCTATATCGAAAAACAATATACCCCTATTTTTTTATTTAAAATCAAAAAATATTTAGGGAGTGCTCGAAGCGCTCAAAGTTTTCCATGTATTTTATATGGAAAAAAAATTGCGTTGAAATACTCTTGAAAATCAAAATTTTTCGATCAAAAAACTGTGGTTCTTTTCAGGAGACTTCCAGTATTAATATCCAATTATTTATTGAACAATTTTTTATGATTAAAGATTTTTTATTGGTCCCCCCATTGCATTTTCTAAGGGCTTTGGAGGACCTATAAAATATAGTTCCTATGAAAAAATTGTTGAAGAAAGAATTGAGTATTATTACTGGAAATCTCCTGAAGATAAGTAAAGTTTTTCGATCGAAAAATATTGATTTTAAAGAATTCTACACTATTTCTATGAAAAGATGTTTTTTCTGCATATAAAATACATGGAAAACTTTGAACGCTTTGAGCACTAGCTAAATTATTTTTTATTTCAAAATAAAAAAAATGTGGGTATATTTTTTCAGGTATATAACAATCCTAGGGGGTGGCGGCATTAAAAATGCGACCTTATTTTTTTACATACATTTTTGGACCACTTTATTGTACATACATTTAAACATGTATTTAAATTGCGAAAACTCAAGAATGCATCAGGTTATCAATAAAATATATTCAAAGGTGATAAAGGTAACAGAACAGTGTGGTTTTCGTGTGAAGATAGATTCGAATTTGAAATGCAACAGTTGTCTGGTGGCTCTCGATATAAACACGAAAAATGGTTTTCAATATTTTTACTTATAATTTTTCTATGCATAAGTAAAAGTATGTATATAAATCTATGGGTATACCACTCACAACTATTTGGTCGCATGATGCCATGTAGACCCGACTCTTAAGCATATACCTACCCAAAATATATAACTTATATACAGCTGCCTTAAGGTGCGTGCAAGGAATTAAAGAAATACTTTTAGAAGATTCGTTAGGAGTAGATATTACATGCCATCTAGGAATGTTTGCTACTGTCGAGGGCCGTCCGCTAGTAAAGCACAGAAATTCACGTCAGATGCAAAACGATCGGCTTGACATCTTCTCAGATATGTATTATATATCTTAGGTCCGACGTCTTTGAAAAACTAATCGAATGTGGATCTGGTATACAAAATACAATTGAATGGCGTCCACTTACCAGTTGGTGTTATCAGAATTGTTGGTCATCAATACTTGCCTGGAAAGGAAGCCCGGACTCGGCGCTGTCCGTGGCGGGCGCTGGCTTATTGCCTTCCATATAAGAATGCTATGCCAACAGAGATGAATATCAAAAGGAAAAAGTAGGCCATCTTCAGTTTTCAGTCCAGCTTTAATGAGAATCAGGAGCAGCGCTTTGAGAGACATTGGCATAAATTTTGAAGGACCTGTGCATGTACAGCCACTAAAACATTTACAAATAAATAATAAAATGGCACATCAATATGAACAAATTTGTTACTGCGCTCCATGTGTGTTTGCTCCGTTTCTAGTGTTTATGTAACTAATCTCGTGCGTAATTAATATATGTACATAAATATCTACACAAACTGGTGTACATATATACATACAAATGTAAATACCTAACCATGTATATATATACATGCGCGTAAAGCTGAATTTTTCATACGAGTATATATCCATAAACTTTAGTTGGGCACCTTTGTTAAGTGGCGCTTATGTATATTTTTTTTATTTGAAATGTTTTTATTGAGGCTTTAAGTGTACATAATCATAAACATGTGCGCATTAATTAATTAATCTAAAACCATCTACATTTGATATAACGTACAATAGTTATTAAAGCCAGACTTAAAACAATTACCATTTTCATTTTGTTAGTAAGATTAATAGTTTGGTGGGATTTCTTGATTTAATTTTATTCATATACTCTTACATACATACAATATAAGCAAACATAAATTTATGTATTGTGTGTATGCTCACAAAAGTTGTATTCCTGTTAAGCATAGAATTGGAACTACGAGTATTTTCTATGGCATAGTGAATTTATAGTTTGACTGGACAAGCGGTATGGTATGTCTTTAGTTAAGTAGGTAGTAGTTAATATATCAACTGGCAGATCAAACTCATGTAAAGAATTCAGTTCGGACTTTATTAGATATTGTCAAAATAAGCCACTGAGTTCTCTTCATTCTTACAAAATACTCAAATATCTCCCTAAAGAAAATGTGGCTCAATAGTACTATGCAAATAATTTTCGAGTTTTTTTCAACTCTGGAGCCTTAGAATGGTGAATTACTCTAGACTCTAGAGAAGGGAGAACCAGATTGAAAGCGTTTATAAAACAAAAAATATTTTTAATATTTTTATTGAGCTTTGTACCACGATTGTTTATTAGGAAAAATTGAAAAAGCAACAAAGTCTAAGCGGTAGAAGTTATAGCACTATTTCGGAGATCACCA